TTCTTGCAAAGAACCATAAAGTTGTTGAAAAAGCTTTTGCTACAAAAAATGGTTTATACCGAATTGTGATTCAGCCTCCCATTATATTTAATTTTGCATCATCTATCACAGAGAGTCATATTTCTCTTTGGCATGGACGATTGGGACATCCATATTCCACATTATTTACAAAAATCATTCCATGTATAATTGGACACAATTTAAAGCCTACGAATGTAGACTCTATAGAATTATGTCGTACATGCGTGCAAGGTAAAATGATTACTCGGCCTTTAATTTGGAAACTTCCAGAAGAATTACCACCAATGCTTGAAAGATTGCATGGTGATATTTGTGGTTCCATTAATCCAATATCAAGACCAATTCATTATTTTTTGGTCCTTATTGATGCATCAGATAAACAATCACATGTTTTATTATTATTAACTCGAAACATGGTGTTTGCCAATCTTATATCTATGCTTATTTGTTTTCAGGCATATTTTCTTGATTATCCTATAAAAACATTGAGTATGGATAATGCAAAAGAATTCACATCAAAGTCTTTTGAAGACTATTGTATTACAACAGAAATTGAATTGGAAAATTTGTGTTCCACATGAATATGTTCAAAATGGACTTGCAGAGTCATTTATAAAGCGTATACAACTCATTACCCAGCCACTCCTCTTTCACTCAAATTTACCTGCATCTATGTGGAATCATGCAGCTTTACATGCTTCAACATTAATATGCCTCCACCCTTCTTTTCTTGAAATTATTTCACCACATGAGCTTATTTCGAGTCATGTTCCAAATGTATCTCACTTATGAGTATTTGGTTGCCATGCTTGGATTCCAGTACCAAAACCTCAACGGCGTACCATTGGAGCTCATCAATAAGAAGGCATATATGTTGGTTTTGATTCATCAAGCATTATTCATATTATTGATCCATCAACTAGTACATTATTACGTGCACATTTGCAAAATTGTTGTTTTGAAGAAAATATATTCCCATCTCTTCAAGGAAGAGTATCCAATCAACAAAGAAATAAAGTACTCATATTTGAAGCACCAGAAATATTTACAATGAATTCCGATCCTATGACATCTTTGGCAGAAACTGAAGTTACTAAGATTTTGCATCTAAAACGGATCATAGATGAAACACCTGATGGCTTCAATGATGTATCTAGAATTATAAGAGTTCTTATTAATGAGGCTCAAAATGCACCTGCTCAAATTGCAATGCAATTGACTACAATACCTCAAGTTATAACAACAACAACTAAAAGAACTCGTGGACTAGATAAGCAACCACGTAAGAAAAAAGCTATAAAATTGACTAATCTTGGTATTATTTCTCAAGAAATTACCACTCATCCTACGTGACTACCAATTCATGATAATATATCTATACATAATATACTTTTAATTCCTATGAAAAGCAATCTTGGAATTGAAAAGAATAAGAACAAGTTGAGTAAAGAATTATCTATTCTGTATTGTGCTACAGATGATATTTGGGACAGACCATCTATTACTATAGATGAATCATTTGCATATATGATTATAGAAGCCTTTTCTTGTGAGGAAGACGATTCTGAATCTCAAACCATCGAGGAGGTGATACGTCACTCTGATTGGTCAAAATGGAAAACTATTATTGAGGAGAAGTATGCTTGTTTGCGTAAGAAGAAAGTCTTTGGTCCAATTTTAGACATTCTTACATCTCACCTTATAGGATATAAGATAGTATTAATATGCAAGCGAGATGTTTAAGATCAAATAAACCGCTACAAAGCTCATCTTATTGCTCAAGGATTTACTCAACAATTTGGCATTAATTATGAATCCACATATTCTCTAGTCATAGATTCAATTACATTTCGATATATTATTGGAATAACAGTCAATTCTACCCTGGAGATGCATGTGATGGATGTAGTAACTGCATATCTATATGGTTCTCTTGATGCAAATACTTATATGAAAGTTCCACCTGCCTTAGAAATAGGAACTCCAAATCGACTTGCTCCAGGACAATATCGTAGTATTAAATTATGTAAGGCCTTGTATGGTTTAAAAAAATCTAGATGCATGTGATATCAACATCTTCAAGATTATTTAAATACAAATAATTTTATAAGTGATCCACTAATCCCTTGTTTATTTATCAAATGAGATAAAACTGGTTTTGTGATCATTGCTATATATGTTGATGATCTTAATGTAGTAGGCACTACATTTGCATGTGTTATAGCTACTAACCTACTTATATGTGAATTTGAGATGAAAATAATAAGAAAAATAACTTTCTGCATTGGTCTTCAGATTATACATCTAACAGATGGTAGCATTTTTCTCTACCAACTAACGTATATTAGACGAATCTTGCAAAGATTTAATATGATTGATGCTTATCTATTATCCACACCAATGGTTGGATGTGGTCGTGATAGTCATGATCTATACCATCCATGAGAGGAGGAGGAGGAAATATTGGGAGATCAATATCCATACCTCGCAGCGATTGGAGCACTTTTGTATTTAACTACATCTACAAGACTTGATATTACATTTGCAGTTAGTGTTCTTGCAAGACATAGTGCACGTCCAACACTATGATATTGGAATGGCATCAAACATTTATTACATTATTTAAAAGATATTGAAGTCTTGGGATTATACTACACACAATCCGCAAATCCAAAATTGATTAGATATTGTGATGCAGGATATAAATCTGATACTACAATAGCTAAATCTCAAACAGGATATGTATTTTTAAGACACGGAGTTGCAATATCATAGAAATTAGTGAAACAAACAATAATTGTAACTTCATCCAACCATGCAAAAATTATTGCTTTACATGAAGCATCTCGAGAATGTATTTAGTTGCGATTAATTGATAAATTCATTCAAACAACCTGTGGATTTTCATATCATGATTCTCCAACTATCTTGCATGAAGATAATAGTGCTTGTATTGCTCAGGTGCAAGTTGGTTTCATTAAAGGTAATAGGACAAAGCATATTGATCCAAAGTATTTTAGTTATATCCATGACTTGATTACTGATCAAGCACTTATAATTAAGAAAATTGAATCTACAAATAACCTTGCTGATCTCTTCACCAAAGCTCTTCCATTATGCAACCATCATCGACTTACTTATGGCATTAGTATGCGACAACTTGTTTTTCTTGAATAAGAAAGTTAATGAGCTCTTTAAATAATTAAAGAAAATGATGTTGTACTCTTTTTCCTTCATCTATGGTTTTGTCCTTAAATACAATAAGGTTTTCCTAGATAAGGTTTTAATGAGGCAATAATTATTGATCTTGCAAGATCACAGAAAAGTATAGATTTTAATTCTATACAAATTTTATATTATGTAAATATTATGATGAGCAAAGAGGAGTGTTGAGATCATTAAACGTAGCTGGCACTCTCCATAATATTTATTGTAGACTATGGTAAATACCATAGCTACAGTATTTAGAGTCTAGTGGAGAAGTAATGTTTATCCTCTCTCCTTTTTTCTTCGTGTATACGAGACACAACTAGATCAATAGATTTTTATGTATGAAGCTCTCTCTCCTTAGAAACCGTCTTGTGTGTATGACTTACTACTACTCTTGTATGTGTGTATGACTTACTATTATTCTTGTGTCTTTCTAAACATTCTCAACACATTGCATGCAATAAGGAACTTTGATTCTATTCAAGCCTAAGTTTTTCATGTATAGTTCTATTTGCACTTACAAGTTCAACTTATTTCTTATTGGCAACTTTTTACCAAAGCTTTGAAAAAACAAAAAAACAAAAAAAAAAAAAAAAAAAAAAAAAAAAAAAAAAATCAATAAATAAATAAACAAATAAATAACAATAAATAACAATAAGTGTTTATTATATTTTAAAAAATCGCCTTAAAATTTTATAAAATTATATAATATTTATAAAAATTATTTATATAAAATATTTGAATTATAAAATTATATAAGAAAATTGGATATGACACATAGAGATCAAGAAGCCTTCTAATTGGTTGTAAAAAAGAGAACATGAGGAAATGTAAATGTAATTTATCTCAAAGTTCTTTTAATTAGTTATTTAAGTTATAGTTTAATTTAGTTATTTAAGTTGTAGTAAATAAAAATTGTGTTTGGCAATTGCAATGAAGAAATATAAATGGTTTCGTTGTTATGCATATATACTCTTTTTCTTTTTTCATTTTTTCTTGGTCAACATTTCTTTAGGAGTGGTCAATTTTTTTAACTTTTACAACTTTTTTGTGGCCAACGGCATAGGTTTCGACATGTATATATATATATATATATATATATATATATAAACATACGTAAACAAATAAATCAAAACCATTATTAAAACCAAAAACAAAACACCATTTCTCTTGTATCTACTTCTTGTTGTATTTTTCGTTTTTTTTCATTTGTTTCTTTATTCACTATTTTGTCAAACTCTTCAATAATTGTAGCACAATCATGTGAACGTGTCATTCATGGCACAGCGGCCAACACAGAGCGAGAGTTTTTGCTTCGCACATCCCCAGCATGCAAGCAAGCAAGCAATGCTACAATCAACAAACAAAGTCCCTGTCTACGAAGTCAACCCCACAAAATGAAAAATGCGACAAAATAAGTCCACCATTAAAGTGCAACGACAAAGAAAGGTCAGAGCACTGTGTAAAACTGTAAACTTCTCCGCCTCAACAACACTTTAAAAAAGCTTTACTCGTCTCCTTTTGGCGTTGCAGCTGCGCACCAACCTCCAAATCAGCAGTCGTAGCAGTAGCACTAAAGCTTCGAAGGTCAAGTCTGCGAAATGGAAAGTTCCCGAGTGGAGCAGTTGATCTGTTTCACAGAGCCAAAAAACATTTTCATGCTAGTTTGGAAAATGGGTCGTGTCCTGGCAGATTGCTACAGTGCCCTGTGGTGCCAGCCGAGGAGGAACAGATTCTTCTAGCGGGGAAAATGAAAGGAAATACAGAAGCAAAAATAGAAAAAAAGGTAAAGGATAGGGAACTTGGGCGAGACGTAATTCGCCTGAAAATTTTGGGCTGAGACGATGGGTGCCTGGCGTAAAGAGTGGGTTCTGGTGGCGTCGTTGCAGAAGTGGGTGACTCGCTTCGAGAGGTGTATGAGATCTTTTGGTTTGACGCAGAAGTTGCAGCAAGCCTGCGACTGGGGTCTGCACGGCATCCATTGTCCACCATACTCTTGACTCGTTCATCAACTGCGACGTTGGTTTTCTCGGCAGGTCCGTCACCTGCCTCTACCATTTTGAAGGAATCTATTTTTTGCTTCCAGGAGTTCCAGGAGTTTGATGATTTTGTGGTGGATTGTAGATATGGTGCTAGGTGGGGCAGAATTTGGAGTTGTTTGAGAGAGAGAGTGAGAAAGAGAGAGAGAGTGAGGGCTTGCGAGAGGTGGTGTAGTAGTTGTAAAGCTTTCGTGAGCGTTGGGTTTTGTGTTTCGGGTGCGAGCACATGTTCGAGTTGTAAATTTGCGAGGTTTCGATGTTTTGAGTACGTGGGTTGGATTGGCGATGGATGTGTGGTGGTTGTGGTGTCGTTGAGTGACTTGATTCTAGGAGAGCGCGTGATCTCAGCAATCAGTGTCGCAGTGGCCTCAGTTGGAAATGAAAGTGGAGACATTCCTGGTTCTTGAGGGTCTTGGTGTTTGTTGCGCGATTTTTGTTCTCGATCGTACGCACAATACGAGGCAGATCAGGTTTGAGTTTTATCGTGCCTCGGTGGCTGCCCATAGGGTCAATCGTGGCTGCATCCTGGAATTTTAATCCGAGGGAATGCACAGCCCCTGCCCCCCTTCTCATAGGATACAAGCCACCTGAATTCGGTGTTTCCTCTTAAAGGTTTAAATTTCAAGAACGGAACTGGTCTTCTCTGAAAGGGGGAGTTCGTGACCTAAGAGTCAGTTGTCCGGCTCTCAAAATTGGTTTGTGCAGCAAATTCCTTATAAATTGTTTAAGCCGTTTTGTGATCCACGAGGGGAAACGCTACAGGTTATGAATTTCTGTATAGAGAAGGTATTTGATAGGTCTTTGAGGAATTTGTTATGATGCTGCAGTGGGTAGCGGATTGCCGATGTGAGAACCACCAATAATGTCAGGGGTTTTACATTACTGGGCCAGTTGCGGAGAATTGAAACCCCTGAATGTTGTGTCGCCATGAACTTATTGAAGCGATTCAAGCTCCAGTCATCTGGTCTGTTAGTCGTACTTATGAAGAAACCCTAAAAGAGATGACCATCTGGATCTTCAACCATCATCACCTTTGACATGCTTCACATAAATGCTTCTCAGAGATGGTGCTTCCTATGTCAGAGCTCTGGTACAAATAAGCTCACGTTCAGGTTTTCTCTGACGCAATACTATGATATGTCAGGTTGGGGTATTGAAGACTATGGCGTCCAACGTATGGCAAAATTTGATGGCTGTGACCTTTTCAGGTCTTAAGCCCTACGTGGAGGCAGGCGCAGGGTGGCTGGCGCAAGTGATGGAGGCCATGAGAGTGCTGATGATGGTGCACAAGCCCACGAGGCAAGGCGTGAAAACATCCGCTCACGTCACTCATAAAATTAAAATGGCTAGTGTGCAGATGTCTATGGACGAGGTGTCAAAAACTTATAAAATCACTCCAATTCGAAGACTGTAACAGATAACCTTGAGGACTCGTGTATAGAAGAAGTAAATTTGCACTAGAGGTCGCGAAAGGATTACCGAATTGGTTACTTCTCGTTTTCTGTACAAACCAAACGATTTATGCACTTGGTTTTAATCGGGAATCCTGAGTGGGTGCCGGTATTCACCGGATTTGTATCCCATTTAGCATGTACAGTTTTGTGACTATTAAGGCCTCCTTTATCAAGGTCTTTCTGATCAATACTTTCTCATGAGATCAAATGTTTCATTCTGTTTCATATATTCTTGCTGCATTTTCTAGTGCTTGACAACGAATGCTCATATCTCCAGATTAGTTGGGACCTCGTCTTCTTATTGCCGTTCTCATTGTCTTTTCCGACTTCAGCAGTAAGGAGTATTTACAATGGAACTAAATGGGACTAAAAGTTATGTGATTCAGTAACCTTTTCAATCTAGAACGACTGCATAGCGTACGTGTGATGGCATTTTAATGCATGGTCCATTAGGAAACATCTTATCATGTTCGGAATTTTAACACTATATTTGAAAACACTCAATTACCCGAGTTCATGGGAGAGTCCACCCAATTCTGAACTCCTGAAGTGGTGGAGGCAGGAAAAACTGGGTGTTACAACGTCTAAATTTGAAGTTGATGATTACCAAAATCCCTGCACAACGTATCAATACGGGATTTGTGATAAATTTTATACAATATTATTAGCCACCGCCTCCAGAGCATACAGACCAACATCTGAAAGTCTCACAAAATCAATTATTCTTTGTATTGAGCTCACTGAGTGTTGAATTAGAAGAAAGAATTAAATGGAGCATACAACTCATACAAGTTTCGCAAGTAAAACGATTATAAACTGCCATGAGATGAACAATTGCAATCTTACGCGTTCATCAGCCCCAAAAAGAAGTCTCTACCCTTTCACAAAATCGTTTTTTAAACACTACGTTGAAGCTGTAAAACACAGTTGAAGAGTATGGTTCACATAAACATGGATCACACAGAGTCAAGTTTTGGCACACACAAGTTGTGCGGTTGCATTTATTCAATCTGCGTAGCGAATTAAGCTGGAGTGAAGCATACCACCTCCACAGCATCACTGTCGAGGTTGACACACCTATTCATTTAATGGCTATATATTACAAGTATGGTAAAATTTCGCTCACGAATTATACACTCTAAAATTGATGCCATCAACTTTGATCACTAGATTATCTAATGAACAAGTCCCTCGAGAAGGTTCCACTCTCAAAGTTCACTGTTTGTACACTCATTTGATTCTCCTGAGGGGAAAGGATCTGATCTGATCCACCGATTTAGACGTACATCAGCTCTGAACAGTAGATTTCAGGGTGATATAGGAAAAAGATCGGGAATCACGAGCTGAGATACTCGCAACTAGCATAAGTATAGGTGGCTATCACCTTCATCCACAAGGTCCAGGCATCAGCCCAGCAGCGCAGGTGATGCGTTGGTGCGGTGATTTGCCAGAGCAATTCCATGTTTCCACTTAATGCCCATTAGGGGAATCCTGCATCTCTTAGATCACGGTACCGTGCTTAATGACAGCGTTCTTGCACACTACAACAATGCCTGAACGAATGTAGAAACCTTCATTTGGTCTCGCAGCTTCAAAGACATTCTGCAATGGTCAATAAACAGAGTTAGGTCAAGTGATGCTCAAGTTGAGGAAAAGAAAAGTAAACTTAAGATAACGAAGTTGTACACAAGGAAGAAGGTTCTACTCACATCAGCATTAGTAATGACGACGTTGCTGCCAATTCTCGCGTTCTTGTCAACAATGCAATTCCTCAACTTCGTGTTTTCACCGACACCCAAAGGGACCTTCCCTTCGGCCAACAAAGCAGCCGCCTCGGGATCGGTTTCGTAGAAGTCAGCTCCCATCACCATGGATCGCTTCACATCACAACCAGACTCCAGCCGAGATCGGACTCCGATGACAGAGTTCTCCAAGCTGCACTCCCGCAAGAAGCATCCGTGAGACACAATCGAATCCTTCACTCTACACTTCTCGATCTTGGTCGGGGGAAGGTAACGTGCGCTGGTGTAGATCGGTTTCGCGGCGTCAAAAAAGCTAAATTTAGGATTCTCGGCTGTGAGTGCCAAATTGGCATCAAAGAAAGACTTGATGGTTCCAATGTCTTCCCAGTAGCCATTAAAGAGGTGAGCTTGAACATTAAACTCCTTGGCAGCCTGGGGAATGATCTCCGAGCCGAAGTCGTTGGCGAGTGGGTACCTCCACCTGAGGAGCTTGGCCAGCACGCTTTTCTTAAATACGTAGACGCCCATCGAAGCAATGTATGGCTTCTTCTTGGCCTCTTCGCCGGATAGGCCAAGGACGGTGGTATCCACTTGCATGGCATGTAAATCATCCCCCTTCGGCTTCTCACTGAAGTGGCGGATTTGGCCCTTTCCGTCAATTTTCATCAGGCCATAGTCGGACGCACGGCTATCGTCTATGGGTACGCAAGAAACGGTCACATCGGCTCCAGAGTCTTTGTGCTTCTGCAGTTGACAATTGTGGAGAAAAGAAGCATGTCAGTGAAGCTCACGGAAAAGGGATTCCAGCTAACTGTTCGGAATGACCATGTCAAACTAGCAAAGAATTTACAATCGGTTCGAAATTCACACCTGCACGAAATCCTCGTAATCCATACGGTAGAGGTGGTCCCCAGACAAAATAATGACGTCCTCAACGTCTTTGTTCTTGGCATCCTCCAGCAACCAAAGGTACTGCCTCACTGCATCCGCGGTGCCTTCGAACCACTTGTCACCGCCAGATCCAGGCCTTTGGGCAGCTGCCAGAACCTCAACGTAGCCATCTCCGAAGTTGCAACCGTTACCAAAGTTGTAAGTACGTGCGAGATGGCGATTGAGGGACGTAGAATTGAACTGCGTGAGAACGTAAATCTTGTTGATTCCACTGTTGATACAATTGCTCATGGGAACATCAATCAACCGATAGCCACCTCCAAGTGGAACCTGTTCAAACCATGACCAGTATCAGAGGATCGATCTTGCCAGTAGAATCGTCGACAACAAACCAACCCAGATCTGTCGGAGTTCAGCGTGATTGCTGATCCGCCAGCCATACATACCGTACGAATTCATACCGTACGAATTCATACCGTACGAATTCATCAAGAACTTCGTGAAAAATCACCACCTGAGCATAACGAGCAAACACTTACCGCAGGCTTCGCTCGACGAAGAGTCAGAGGATTTAATCGGGTGCCTGCGCCGCCTCCCAAAATAATAGAGAAAACCTTCGTCATGTTTACTGGCTGCTTCGGGGTTTTCTTCACCCTCTCCCGGGTAGTTTTCTCAATCTGTAACAACCATCACAATGTATCGCACTTAATTTTTGGTGTATCACTCAGAACCCCTTCATCAGATTGGGATGAACAGACGATCAGATGGTTTCACTAACTACAATACCCTCTGCACAGATCAAATCTACGTATTTTTCCTGCTTGAGACTGAAAGGGACGCTTCTAGGTCCTTGGCTGACTTCATAATGCTATCCTGCATTAATCGCTAACAATGCTAGATTCAACACGCACAAGGAACCAAGGGAATGGTTAAACTACTTACCAAAGCCTCCAGTGGGCGTTCAGCCAAAATGGCAGAGATATCGAGACCGCTGGACTTGGTGCGGGCAGCTGTGGGTTTCGGAGAAACATTAGACTTGAGAGCTGCACAATCGCCGCCGCACATGAACCCGGCAGACGACATCTTCTGTTCTCCCCTGAAGCCAGAGCGAAAGGGCACATCCCCGCTCAATGCCTCACAGTGAGCAGGCCTCGCTACGGTGCAGTAGCTGGTAGAAGCGAACATCCCTGCTGCTGCCATTTATACAAGAAAACTCCTCCCTTGAGCAAGAGTCGCGCAAGTTTCGCTACTTTGACGACAATTAAAGTCGGTCTGCTTTACAATCACCACAAATCTGTACAAATTCCAGGATCAAGCGCCCATTAAGAAACCTAAGAGTTCATGCTTCGATCACAGATTTTCAAAACCCAGATACCAGACAACCACAAGGATACACTAATTCTCTGCAACTGCGAAAGTGCTGATTGCAGCAAGCTTTTGCACAGTGCCACTGCACAGAATCCTCTACTTCAAACCCCGATCACCGTCCATACATGCATTGACGCCCGATTTGCAGCAACCTAACTTTATCGCCAATGTTGGACTAGAGGGGCACTCGTCGCTCAAGTAAACCAAGTATTGCAAGCTACTCAAGAAGCACACGAGAAACACAACACTGCAGCTGCAATACCGCCAAAAAATGCGTTTGCTTCAAAATCCGCGCAACAACTTCATCGCACAACATTCAGCGAAAACGCACCTCAGAAATCCGAAAGCTGGCGCAAGCAATCTGAACGAAGAACTACGCCGCTACTACAGCTCTCAATGCAACAGCACTTTCAAACAGTAATGTTGGTCAGGGCAGGGAACAGCTGCCAGTATTTCTCTTAGCCTTCCAGACCCTCTGCGATCGACAATCTCGTCCTCGTCTTACGACTGAGGCGACAGTGTTCACTTGTGCAGAATGCAAATATTCACTCACGGTACCACTTCAATATGCTTCGCTAAGGCTACCAGTTGGATCCGAGTGACAGTCTTGAAATGTCCGCAACTGTCACTTAAGGTCCTATAAATATGCAAACCCAGCAACTAGCAGGTATGAAGCAGTGCTGTGGGACCTCGTAAGGCTCCAAAATCCGCCTCCCTCGGCCGTCGACTCCCTCCGCCTCTCTCAACTCTCCATACCTCAGGATTCACGCGTATTTTCAAAGCCGTATCCAGCACCGTTCATTTTGCATTTCCACCATTTTCCGGCTTATTCCTCGAAATTCTCCATCAGTGCCTGGGTATTCCGCCTCCCTGCGCAGTCAAAATTCCCTTCTCACATCTAGCTGTTCCAAGCAACATGTACTATACATCCCTCGGTACATTCTGCACCTTAAAGGTCGATGAGAACCATCCTTCCCTCTCGACGCCTCACCTGCATGTCAAGACAAAGCATTTTTAAGTAATCCTGAGGGAGGGTTACCAAATTTGCAATCGTAGCTCCGCAGTTGCACAGATCGACGCTGCTTGAGCTTTACGATCTCTCCAGGTATGCTCGTGGATGAACGTGGTCAAGGTTGCGAAAATGTCATATGTTTTTCACGTATTACTATCTCTCCAGTTGGGAATACCAAAAATAAATAAATAAACAAAACAAAACCATCAATTCTTACATTACAGTGCAACGGAAGAACGGAATAACCCTTGCTCCTGAATCTGTAGAAGATTCTACACAGCTCCACCGGCAGGGCTAGAAGATTCCGACGTGGCGATTCATGTCAATGGTATCGTGTAACCCAGATAATTTTGCTTCCGTAAATAGACGAGATGTGAATCCGACCAGTACCAAAATCGAAGTCGAAAGCGGGGCACCAGCAACCACGCAGCCCCACTTTGGCGCAGACGTTCATAGGCCTCTGAATACCAGGCAGATGAATGAATGGTACGGCTTCGTTCTCTCCGTGGACAAAATATTTCCTCCGAAGTACGCTCATTCGTTACTTGGCTTGCGCAATATGCTGGCTGGAGACAAGACAAACTTATTCTTCCGTGCGGCTTCGGAACGAGCCTACTCGAAGTAGAATTTGTGCTCCACCCATTTCACCGCAATTTTTTGAAACGCCCCAAATTGGGATACGACTAGGCATTCCGCGGCGCTGTAAGCGGAACGGAACCACAAAACCTGGAACCATCAAAAATCAAAAACCCATTACAATAATGCCTCGAATTATGAAAATGTATGAGCGTTGGAGGCTATGGAAGTTTTGAACAGAAAAAGCATGCTGCAGCGATTTATTTAGTATCATCAGAGGTTGAGGTCTATGAAAAGAATTGCTGAAAGTGTAAGGTTTTATTTATTTATTTTTCTTTTTTCTCAAATAATGCTATTTGAAACAGTGAGGGATCAGTCGAGCTGTATGTTAGAGTGCTCAAAGGGGACAAGGTTGGTGTGTATTTTGATAAGACATGGTTGTCCATGTTTGCTTTAGAGTTTGCTTGAATGCAAATTCTAAGCTGGGTGCAAAGTTGATAGACATGTTAAAAAATTATTTTTGGATTGAGCAAGTGAGTCACACCATTTTTAAGGTTTCACTTGGAGTCGTTTTGTACTACAGTCACCTGCTTCACACCACTTTCAAAAACCCATTCTGTTACATCTGTAAAGTGGATGTGATGATACAGTAGGGTGGAGGACAACTTCCAGCTGGAAATCAGTCAGGAGAATAAGCTCCACTTTGCATGAGGGTCACAAAGCTCAAGGCAGCAAGTAGAAGCATGAGATTCTTCAACATGAGGCTCTCCTTCAAGGCAATACACAATTTGTTACCTCCACCACCCAATTCATTTTGCAACTTGCATAAAATAACAGGTAAAAGGGAAGGAAGAAAACATGTTCTTGTAGTTTGAGCCATGTGGATTTTTGTTCCCCCATTTCCAGCCCCTTTCACCACTGCTTTGATCCAACCCATGCTCCATCCAACCCATTTATTGGTATAACAATAATCACTGGTGGGTATGAATCCCAAGGCATTATTTCAAGTGGGGGTGAAGGGAAAGCACCACAGATGGAAGACTTGGGGAACACATGGGCATTGAAAGAATCTCCTTTGTTTCTTATTGTGATATTTTGTGTTTTAGATACTCTAATGTTGCCCCATGCTGAGAGTTGATGCCCTTTCTACTTCTTCTCCCTTTTCTTTCTTTCTTTAATGTTCATTGTATCAAATTGGGCTGAAGTTTGGTCCAGAATGATCTTAGACCACAGCAGGATGGCAGAGTTGTACCCAAATTAGCATAATAACATTTAAGGCAAATGGTTTAAATCCTACATATTATATGTCATCAATACATGGTGGGCTCTTGCACAAAGTTTACCCTGGCTTTGTTAACAGAGAAATAAATAAATGATGGTGTTTGTAGGCTAATGGCACTAGATATTAAATCCCAAATTGACAGTGGCTCTCCAGTCAAAGCCACCAGCTGAAGGTAGGTGATAATTTGGTGGAAACATGACCATGCCCAGCAGTTAGGACTGACAGTGATCATGCTTCCTTTTGTTGTAAGGCTGGGATCTGGAACATTAGGAGGGTGAGATTTAGCACAGTACTCTCATGGGGGATTTGCACAGTAGCATGCACTCTTGTTCATTTATTGAGGAAGAGATGTTTTGTGAACAATGCACAGAGCAGTGTTCTCCTCTATTAGTGAGGTCTACCATTCTTTATTTGGGTTTCATAGTGCAACAATAGCAAGCAAATATGCCATTTGGCTGGGGATATTTTGCATCCATGTATTCATCCACACAATCAGATAGTTGTTGTGGGGCAGCCTACATGTGTGTCTCTGCTCTGGTCCTGTATTGTTTCAACATGAATGGCTTGAGAGTAGACATTAGTACATATTTCTTTTTTGGTTATGGTTCTAAATATGTGTAAATCAGGAAATGAAAATTAAACAACAAAGTGTGGAAGTCACTAGAAGAGTCACTATGTGACATGCATAGATTGAGAAGGATTACATGTTGATAAAGACAGAAGAAGATTTTCAGCTGGTCTTGAAATAGTGTTTTGGGTAATGTGAATGAGATTGGATTTCTGTGGGCACAAATTCCTTTCATGCAGCAAGAGAAGGAAAGCATAGACTGTTTCAAGTACAATGTATGTAATTATTTGTAATGAAAATTTATCTTTGTCCACAGTGGTTGTATGAATAAGTAACTCCAGAGTGACAAAAGCATTAGTTCTGACAAGACCTTAACAGAGTTTTAGAACCTTTGATAACTGCATATTGCAGATCACTCCAACAAGATGCAGTAACAGTATCGAAATGATTCGCATCAAAAGTCATGAATATCTCTTGTACCCCCTCTATTTACTCTCCTGAGATATGGTAGAGGAACTTCTATCTGTACGAAAAAATAAACGTATTTCATGTTTTATTATCATAGAGAAGAAGTGAGTAACAGAAGTGATCAAAGAATCTACCACACAATCACTGCTGGGTATGCCTTGGAATAGCCTTGAAATTAAGCCTTTGGTTTTGTTTCGTGTGCAGCAAAAATACCTGTATAAAGTACGTATGAAGCCGCCTCCGGGACCAGTTGTAGGCTTTCTGTCTCTCCCCGTCTGACAAAATCTGCCGTGGACTCTCCCCCCCCTGTTCTGTACCTTTATGCACCAACGACATAGTATCAAATTCCCATCCTATCAAAGAAGCTGCCAGGGCTCTGGTATATCTGATCGATATCCGATGGTATACCCTATAGTTAAGCTAAAAATGAAAAAAGTATTGAAGTGATAGCAGATCGGAATCAAGGCTTATACAGGTCAGTGACACACTCAGCATATCAGCAGATATTTCTAGGCGAGGGCGATTTAAGGAGTGGTAGAGAGGTGGCTGGTGGAGGAGCAACACACGAGGAGCGCTTGCAGATACTTCCGAAGGCACTTAGTTGAAAATGCCGACTGGTATATTTTCTTACAGCACAAGAGAAATCTGATTACTGGGTGACATGAGAAGGGAAGAGTTTGTCTTTTATTTATTTAGTGAACATATTTTAGAAGTTACGGATAAATGCAAGTGAAATATGAAAGGGTGGTTGCTAATGAGTAGACAGAGTTGCAGTGTTAATGGGCTATTTTCTTGGGAGACTCATTTACCAATGATACAAGTTTTTTAGATGTGTTGATTGTCATTCAGAAATCTTACTGGTTTGAAAAGATATATAATCTTTTTGAAGGTGTATACCAGTGGGAGTATAATCAGATTTTTATTATTCAAAAATAAGTATGAACGTATTTTCTTTTAATTTTTAAGAGAGTCTCAAGGGCATTGTTGGTATGAGTATTAAAAAAATAAAAAAAAATGTCGTTGGTTTTTGTATCAACTGTAATCATATTTGAATTGTGGGTCTGTTCCAGTGTAGTCAGATGCTTATCTACTACTCACAGAATATAAATGTAAAATTTTAAGTATACGTTTTGAAGCCCCATGTTCCAAATATGTTAAACATATAGATGATTGGACATATGTTTAGTTATATTTTACAAACTGCACTTTTTTCATGAAAACAAAAGTCAAATGCATGGATTTTTGTGTCCAAGCACCACCTTTTAAAAAATTAGTTCAGCAGTTGGTCAAGCATTACTAATATTAAAGGCAGGAAACCGTATAAGCAGGACGAAATTATTGCAAAAATTTATTTAGAAAACAACTTGCAGATTTTTCTGTATTTTCCACATCAGCCAAGCATGAAAGTGCTAAACAATGCTGATAGGGGTGACATAAAGAAAAGGATCGAGCTGGAAAAGGAAAAAAGATTACATGCAAATATCGATGAAGAAGCACAAAAAAGCAACGATGTGAGTTCAAAAAGTATTAGAACACGTCAACATCGATTAAGCAGACGTAGGTGTGTGCAGAGAATTGTTTCGGAGAGCGATTGAGAAAATATCAGCACGATTCTTTTGGCTTCCTTTTTCGCTCGATGTGGTGGAATGGAGGCGTGGGATCGAAGGCAGGAGCAGTTGCAGCAAGGAAGCGATGAGCCGGAAATTAGAAACCAGCACAATTATGCATGCCGTCGAGAGCTTGGTGGTGATCACATGGCGCAT